GGAATATGCCTAGCACTCAATTCATGCTGTAATTCTTGAGTTAGGTGGGTTGTTGAAAGAATAACTATTTCTTTATCATTGTGGTGCTTCAAAATTTTGGGGTGATTGAGTGGCTTGAGTGAAAGACCTGGAACTGAAGTTAACGTTTATTCAGGAATTTGAAATACTGTCTTTTTACTGAGGCTTGCTATGCCCAGTAAAGAGCTGAAGGCCTCAGCCCCTAATGCGTTACAGCTTCTGCCTTGGACGCTTTAATCCTGAACGGTGCAGGACTGCTGTATCCGGACTGGTGTATTGACTTGCATACATGTCAGCTTCTCGTGTCTGCTGCTTGTGGGATGGGCAAAGGTCACCAACTACAGCATCGTCTGGTGTCAACTGTCCTTATTCAGAATGTGGTTGGTAACAGAAACAGCCAAGACGTTGTCCCCTTGCTTTGGGGTAAACAGTTGAGGAGGACTGGCAGGATGTGCTTGATATGCTCCAGCTTACGATTAAATTTCTGTGCTGAGTAGCCCGGACCTGTTCTTCCCCTCGTCTGCTTAATAGTTCCTGGTCGTGGTGTGTGTAAAGGAGGTGAACACCAACTGGCTGTAGTCATTCTGGGAGGTAAAGTTTTATCCTGTAAGGAGGGCCTCAGGTCAGAACTAGGGAGAAGACCAGCCTGTAGTAGCAGGGAAGAAGTGTGGTGTTATCTTCTTGAAATCAGTGTTAGTCTGTTATGAAGTGTCTGGGTTGTGTTGGTGACCTACGAGCTGGAGGTGCTCTGTTTGCCTTCAGTAGGTAGCAGTAGGAACCTAGAACTGCAGCTCCACACCGTGCCAAAGGAGCAGGGAAGAAGAGCAAAGCAGAAGCTTTCTGGAATGTTAATCAGAATGGACAGGCTACTTCTGGATTCACTGACGTCCATCAAAGTGCTGGTTTTAAAGGCTGAACTTAAAGTATAGTTTCTCATACCTAGCTTTGGTTCATCTTCTGAAACACCTCTGCCCAAGGATCTTAAAGTGTAGAAAGCAGCAGTTGGTTTGGCGTGTGAATGTGACTGCAAGTCAAGTGCTAGTGGGAGTATGCTCTGAAGGTCTGGCTGGGGGAGCAACGGAGTAGTTCAGAGGCGTTGTTCCTCCTCATGGGTGTTAATGCTGGAAATGGTTGCAGCAAAGTTAGCTTGGTATGCTAAGTTTGAAGTTTTTGTGAAATTTCTGTGTGTATATGTATACATGCATGAGTGAGGCAGCTGATGACATCGTCATAGCTATCATGTAGCTGGCGGAAACTTTCCAAACTCTGGTAAGGGAAAAGCCCCACCAAAACTGAACAAGACTGCCTGAACAGGCGGGTTTTGCCCTTCCTTGGGAGCACTGGATTTCAGAAGGCTTGAAGCTGGCTGCCCTTCATTGAGTGATATTGCAACTACACTTGTACAAGCTGCTGTGTTGAAGTATTACCCCTTCTAAAAAGTTAATTCTTTGGACAAGATTCTAGTGGAACATAGTTGTAGAGACATTAGTCTGTTATTTTTCCTCTTGACTAGGAATGGAGTGAAAAGCTGTAAAGCAGCATTGGTAGGATGGCTTGGGGGCTGGCTGTCGTACAGACTACCAGTCATCCCAGTAATGAAATGTGTCCTCAGTAGTACATGCTGATAGATCTTAAGTAGTATTAAAACCCGTTTTTTTAGAGGAATGAAACAAATTATTGAATTGGAAATACTTTAAAATAAACTTTGCATTTCAGTGTGAGTTGGCAGTGGACGGAACATCAAAGAAACCAAGCCTTAGAGAAAGCAAAGCAAGCTGTCTTTTGCTTGTTCAGCACGTCTCGCTGTCGTTGTCAGTGTTCATTGTGATGGACTGACTGACTAGCCACAATTAAAATGAAGTTGGGTACGCTGTTGACGGCTTTCATCTGAGATGCTGATCTAGCTGATGCTTTTACGGACTCTTGTGACATCAGGTTTTCACTGAATTATTCTCCAGTGTGTGAATAGCATGGCAGTGGTCAGCTTCAGGGTTTGCAGCTATTTAGGTTGTGAAGCATTAGAACTTGTTCTAGCTGTGAAGCCTGAGTTTAGCATGGAAAATTATCCTGTTGCATATGGAATTAGCTTGTTTGGAAGGGCAGTCAGAACAGCCCACCACCCTGACTGCGGGGCGTTCTTTGTAGTGAACTGAAGTTGTTCTTTACAGGTGCTATCTCTAGCAGATGTGCAGGATCTGCCCTCTCAGGTCCTACTTTGTTTAGATGTTACTGGGAAAAAGAATTGGAAAATGTTTCTGACTTTAATCTTAGCTTCCTACTTTTCAAGGAAACCAACAAAGTAACTTCTTGTATGTGCTGCTCCCATGCTGCAAGTACTCGATCGCCATGGATGAGTACGCTATCCCCATAGATGAGACTTCTACCAAAGGCTCTCTTGTTCATGGTCTTTGTTACCCTGTTTTAAGAGTGTGGAAAGGTTTACATCAGGGAAGGCCAGTGAAAAGCTAAACATCAGGCTTTAACCAAGACATCCAAACCAAAATAGCTTGAAATGGAGATGTGGAACTAGGGTGCCTGTCTGTGTGATGAGGTCTCTTGTGCATACAAGTCTAGTAGGCTCTTCGAGTGGTTTTGGTTGTTCTGGTATTCTGCAAGGTTTAGCTCCTAGAATATATGGTCAGTATAGAGGGGAAGTAATGCACTTCAAGTTGAATTTGTGAAGGAAGACTGCTGCATTTCCATAACTAAGTCTTTGTAGTTTTTCTTTCTAATACCAGAGATTTATGCGCCAGTATAAGCATTATTTATAGGAACACTGTTAGAACAGTTTACTGTTGCCCTTTCATGGGCCTCATTTGCTTCTCCAACTTTGGGACTAGAAATCAGGGCTATAATCAGAGCATTAATTATGTAGTGTTACCTGAAAGCACAGAGC